CCTGTGACGTGTCCCAGGAGGTTGCAGAGGAAACGATTTTCCACTATTATCTCTGGGAGTGAGTACCTGCCAAAAATAGGTACCCCATCCCCCCCCCCATACCAAAAAAAAAAGTGTTGATCCTCCTCTACCTCATCCACCTCAGAGCGCCTCTTTTCAGGTGAAGTTCCACTCATTCTGTAAAAAAATAAAAGTCTTTGGCTACAAAAACTGTAGCTGCTGCCTTTTAAAAAAACAGCCACTTATCTGTCCCACGATCCCGCGTTGCCCCCGCCGCAGCTCGTTTCACTGGCCGTCCTGTATTCCAGGCGCCGGCATCTTCAGTGTGGGCACCCGGCTGTGACAGCTTGTGGCTGCACAGCCGGGTGCCTACTGCGCATGCGCGAGTATCGCTGCACTTCCTGAATGGCGCCATAGTCTTCTGGGACCTGTCCCGTGTCCCACAAGACTTCGGAGAGGGAGGGTAGGAGGACAACTTCCATTTCTGAACACCTAGGCGATCACAGCGGAAGTGGGTACCTGTCAAATTTGGGTACCCGCCCCCCCGCTCCCCAAAGGTGCCAATCCTTAATGGGGAGCGGGGGACCAGTCTTTAAAGCGGAACTTCACCTTTTGGGTGGAACTCCGCTTTAACTGTTTCCCATACCAGTTACATTCAAGGCGTGCCATGAATGATAGCTGTCACAGTTGCTTGTGCTCTCAACTGAACTGTCAAGCCGTCAAATGGCTGGTGTCGTAACTGATCACATGTATAGCACCGTGGCAACTGCAGATCAGAACACAGGCTAAGATGGCTATAAAGGATAGGAGGGTTTACTTCTGCTTTAAAGCGGAAGTTTATTTAAAACAAGAAATATATACTGACAGAGAGAGGCTTTTTAATAAAAAAGAGACATATGATATGTCTTCGGAATTACAGCCCCACTTCAGGATTTTTTTAAAACCCTCCACCTTCTATCTGATCGCTGGAAAAAAAATTTCCTATCTAAATCTTCGTTTTTACTTGCCTTAAACCGCAGTCATGTGACGCTGCAGCCCAGAGCCTTCTCTTCTTTTAATTTCCTTGAAGAGTCCTTCTTCATCTTTCTATATGAAGTGAACACTTCCTATTGGATATCCAGTAGCGGGGTCCTCTCAGGAAGGGGTAGTGTCATCACAGGGGACCAGTGATCTCAGTGTTTGGGGGAATTCCAGTGACAGCGAGGGACCTGGAGGGAGAACTTAGGTGAATATATCTGGCCTTACAAGGTAAGAAGGACAAAATGCATTGGGGACGGGTTGAGAGGGTGGAATGGAAGGATGATCAGAAAAAAAAAAGGTTTTGGCCTGGAATGGGACTTTAAAGTATGCACAATGTACAATTTCATTATCTGCTGAGATGAATGAACTACTTCGCATACTGGGAGTGATGTCATCTCAGCCTGGCTGGTTAAAACGACCGAAGATGGGCATCTGAAAGAAGACTTGGGGGAAGAAGCCAGTGGCTGGTGAAAGGAGCTCCTGGCCACCACAGTGATGGAGTGGAGGTGAGTATATCTCCATGTACCAGAACAAGCTGTATCTAGAAGCTGATTGGTTTCCGTTCACAGCTGCTCCAGATCCTGCGTGCTTCAGTTTTAGTAAATTTCCCCTCAGTGTATTCTGGGAACTGATTGAGGGTTTAAACTGGTTAATAATGATAGTATGTGATTGTGTTCTGTATATTTCCCCCCCCCCCCTTTTTTTTTTATTTTCTTTGATATGCCTGTATTTATATTCTCCACATTTACTTGTAGACCCCGGTATAGGCCGACTTCATCCATTCAGCTGTTACGGAACTACAAGTCCCATGAGGCATTGCAGGGTAGCCACAAGCAAGAGGCTGAAGCATGATGGGTTTGTAGTCCTGCAACAGCTGCGAGGCCGAAGTTTGCTTACCACTGTTGTAGACCAAGCTGTCCCAAAAGAAGTATAACAGTGATGTTACGGAACTACAAGTCCCATGAGGCATTGCAGGGCAGCCACAAGCAAGCGGCTGAAGCATGATGGGTTTGTAGAAGTATAACAGTGAGTTACGGAACTACAAGTCCCATGAGGCATTGCAGGGCAGCCACAAGCATGAGGCTGAAGCATGATGGGTTTGTAGTCCTGCAACAGCTGGGAGGTCGAAGTTTGCTTACCACTGTTGTAGACCAAGCTGTCCCAGAAGAAGTATAACAGTGATGGGGTTGGGACAAGCAGTATAGCTCTACTGGGAGGGGCATACAAGGATCAGCTTTTATTCATTTATTCAATACAGTTGCTGTATGGCTACTTAGAGATGTGCAGCTAACAGTGCCTATGGCTACAGAGATGTGCAGCTAACAGTGCCGCACATTTGAAGAGTGTTCCACAGGGTTCTTTAGGCCCTTTTCCTTTATTTTCACCAGGTGATCATGCCAGAAAGTCTGTTATTCTTCAACTCCCTTTAACAGACCAAGCTGTCCAGCAACAGTGGTAGGAAACCATTTATCAATAACAATTAAAACCTTTATCCCGAAAGGAAAACAAAAAACAACTCCGGGAATTGTTTTGTTTTGCATAGTTACATTGGCACAGCTTGACACAATGTCAGTATGGATATCTCATACCTGATGGGTTGCTAGGAAGATGACAATCGCTCTAGAGACTAGTACTACTGCAGTGATAGCAGCGGTCATCTGGGTTCTGGGCCAAATGGTGGCCTTGCTGCATTTATTTATTTATTTATTATTACAGGTACTTATATAGCGACATCAATGTACGCAGCACTTTACATATATATTGTACATTCACATCAGTCCCTAACCCTCAAGGGGCGTGTACAATCTAAGGTCCCTAACTCACATTCATACATACACATACTAGGGCCAATTTAGACAGGATCCAATTCACCTACCAGCATGTCTTTGGAGTGTGGGAGGAAAACCGGAGTTCCCGGAGGAAACCCACACAGGCACAGGGAGAACATGCAAACTCCAGGCAGGTGGTGCCGTGGTTGGGATTCCAACCTATGACTCTAGTACTGCCAGGTGGAAGTGTTAACCACTTAGCCACTGTGCTGCATAGGGGTCGTTCACATGATCACTTGTTCACCCTGCTATTGGTTTTTTGTTGTTCACCACCCCATGGGCTGAACTGGAGAAATCAACAGATTCCAGCATGAATGCTGCACAGCATGGCTAGAGGAATCTCCTCTGCCTCTGCTATTGTATTCAAGCAGCCATGATACCTGCAGTTCTCTGAATGCTCTAACCTTCTAATAGGCACAGTCTCCATTCTCCATTCCACCTTCCTTTGTGGCTTTTTTTTTTTTTTCTATTAACGTTTGTGAATCTGGGTGGTGCCTACAGGGTCACCCAAAGTTTCAATTGGCTGAAATTTAGGGCGCATATGGCCAGTTTAAGACTACCCTGGCAACAGGACGACAATGCTGCCACGTGTTTCACTGCAGAACACACTGCCATGCTGTTGCTCCTGTGGGTACTGTGCCTGGTAATGGCTTTGTCTTGATTGTATGATATGATTTTTGGACAATTCAGGGGTGGAAAAACTGCCCCGTGGAAACAAGCCCTTAGCAACAGAATGATTTTTGATTGCAAAAAATTTACATTTAAAGCTGAACTAAATGTAATCAATAAAAAAAACTGCATGCAGGAAGACTTCTTATTGCAGAAGAGACATGCTCTGTGCTCTCTGTCTGCTATTGAAGGCACACTGAGCTGTGCATGCGCAGCTCAGCCTGCATTTTCCTAGATTGTAAGCTCCAAGGAGCAGGGCCCTCCTAACCCTCTTGTATTGTTGCTGTATTGTCTCCCGTTATATTGTAAAGCTCTGAGCAAACTGTTGGCACTATATAAATCCTGTATAATAATAATAATTATTTCCGGCTCATTCTGGCTGTTCCAGTATGAAAATGATTCTAAAGGTTCGTGTTTTTTTTTTTTTGTGTAAAATACCAAACATGTCTATACTTACCTACTGTGTGTTGTGGTTTTGCAGAGAGCAGCCTGGATCATCCTCTTCTCAGGTGCTCCCTCGTGTCGGGTGCCCCCACAGCAAGCAGCTTGCTATAGGGGCACCCGCTGCTCCGTGTGTCCAGTCACACATGGAACCGCAGCTTGCCCCAGCCTCCCCTCTCTCTTCATTGGCTGACTGGCTGTGATTGACAGCAGCAGAAGCCAATGGCTCCACTTTTGCAGTCTCAGCCAATTAGGAGGCATAGACCCGGGACAGCCGAGGCTGTCGTGCACATCGCTGGATCTCAGTGGGGCTCAGGTAAGTATTGAGGGGGCTGGGGACACTACTGCACACAGAAGGTTGTTTACCTTCAGCCTTTATAACCACTTGAAGGACTCCCATGCGCATGTGCGGGATGACGTCATTTCCAGACTGGCCAATCAAGAGGCCAAAACCCTAGTACCCGGAAGTGGCTGGGGAGATGATGACAGCAGCTGGTGAGGGATTTAACCACCCGCATTGCTGGAAGGTGGAGGTGAGTATTTCTGGGAGTTTCGGCTGAATTCTTAAGGCAAGAGTAGAATTCTGTTACTAACTTATTTTCTTGATTGTATGTTCTATCTAAAATGTATCCCTTTGTAACTGAAAATCTATACTGCAAGGTAACACTGCGTTCTATGACTTGGAAAGGCTGTACTTGTCTTTTTGTGCTCCTTTGTGGTTGTGGAATGTCTCTGGTGACCTCTGCTATTGTGTATTTTACAGAAGGGGTCCCTTAATCCTATTGTTTGAGGTCCAGGAGCATTGTGTCAGTCCCCAGTGATGGAATAGAGGCAGTGTTGCCCCAAGCCACTTATTAGATGTTTGTGTTCTTCAGAGCTGCAGATAGAATTGAAAGGGTTGCTGTGGGTAACAGCTTTGCATTTCATCACCTCCATTTTTATAGACTAGCTCAGGTATACAGAACTAGTTCAACTAGATATGGAGTAGAAGCTTCTGAATACATTTCTGTTCTTGTTAAGACAGATACTCAAGGTGTGTATTTTGGAATCATATCTACCTGTCATTCTGCTGATCGTGTGACTGTTGTGAATTTCTTGCTGGATTGTCGGGTGAGTTCATTGGGATTATTTTTCATTGCTATTAAAATGTGTTAATGCGCTTCTGATTTAGGACTGGATTACATTTCCTGCATGGTAAATGGCTGCGTTTTTACTGTGCAAGAAGTGTAAGTCCTTGGCCGGCACTTTTAAAGTGCATAGCACCATTTTACTTACAGGGTTTGACAAATTTGCTTTGAATCTAGAAATTGTGGGTGCTCACATGAAAGATGGAGAAGTGGGATAGGGGGGGCAGCGGGACAAGAGAAGGAGGTGTCACAGGAGGGGGGCAAGCGGGACAAGAGAAGGAGGTGTCACAGGAGGGGGGCAGCGGGACAAGAGAAGGAAGTGTCACAGGAGGGGGGCAGCGTCAAGGGAAGGGGGGGTGCGGGACAGGAGGGGGGCAGTGGGACAAGAGAAGGAAGTGTCACAGGAAGGGGCAGCGTTAAGGGAAGGGGGGCTGCGGGACAGGAGGGGGGCAGTGGGACAAGAGAAGGAAGTGTCACAGGAGGGGGGCAGCATCAAGGGAAGGGGGGGTGCGGGACAGGAGGGGGCAGTGGGACAAGAGAAGGAAGTGTCACAGGAGGGGGGCAGTGGGACAAGAGAAGGAAGTGTCACAGGAGGGGGGCAGCGTTAAGGGAGGGGGGGGCTGCAGGACAGGAGGAGGGCAGTGGGACAAGAGAAGGAAGTGTCACAGGAGGGGGGCAGCATTAAGGGAGGGGGGGCTGCGGGACAGAAGGGGGCAGTGGGACAAGAGAAGGAAGTGTCACAGGAGGGGGGCAGCGTTACAGGATGGGGGGCTGCGGGACAGGAGGGGGGCAGTGGGACAAGAGAAGGAAGTGTCACAGGAAGGGGGCAGCATTAAGGGAGGGGGGGCTGCGGGACAGAAGGGGGCAGTGGGACAAGAGAAGGAAGTGTCACAGGAGGGGGGCAGCATTAAGGGAGGGGGGGCTGCGGGACAGAAGGGGGCAGTGGGACAAGAGAAGGAAGTGTCACAGGAGGGGGCAGCGTTACAGGATGGGGGGCTGCGGGACAGGAGGGGGGCAGTGGGACAAGAGAAGGAAGTGTTAAGGGAGGGGGGCAGTGGGACAAGAGAAGGAAGTGTCACAGGAAGGGGGCAGCGTTAAGGGAAGGGGGGCTGCGGGACAGGAGGGGGGCAGTGGGACAAGAGAAGGAAGTGTCACAGGAGGGGGGCAGCATCAAGGGAAGGGGGGGTGCGGGACAGGAGGGGGCAGTGGGACAAGAGAAGGAAGTGTCACAGGAGGGGGGCAGTGGGAAAGAGAAGGAAGTGTCACAGGACAGAAGGGGGGCAGCGTTCAGGGAGGGGGGGTGTCACAGGAGGGGGGCAGCGTTACAAGAGAAGGAAGTGTCACAGGAGGGGGGCAGCATTAAGGGACAAGAGAAGGGTGCTGCAGGACAGGAGGGGGGCAGTGGGACAAGAGAAGGAAGTGTCACAGGAGGGGGGCAGCGGGACAAGAAAGGAAGTGTCACAGGAGGGGGGCAGTGGGACAAGAAAAGGAAGTGTCACAGGAGGGGGGGCTGCAGGACAAGAGGGGGGCAGCTTCACAGGTGGGAGCAGTGTCACACACATTTTGGGAAACACCAGTCCTCCCAGCTCTCACCCATCCAGCAGCGGCTCCTCCAAATGGTGCCAATGGAGAGGGCCTGGTGACAGAAGGGGTAGCTGAGCCCGTGTCCGCCTGGTTGTTGTAGTCGGTGAGGAAGTTGGCGCCGTGCTGAAGGTGGGGCTGTCTTCTGTCACACAGGTGGCAGGACTTGGTGACCCCGGTCTGCACACAGTACTTCTCCATGGTGGAGCCACATGTATTGGTGGCCACCACTGTCACTTTGAAGGTGGCGTTGACTAACTTCGGCATACAGTGCTGCGGCCGGCTGCCCTCTGAACACGCATCCACGGCCGCAGGAGTAATATGGACAGGACGAACAGTTTGGGGGGGGCCGCATCATCCAAGGGGGATGGCTGTGTGACGGGAGACAAGCTAGCTGTCATATTGCTGTGCAGGGAGTTCAGGGAAGTTCTTTACCCGGGAGCAGTGTGCACTGGAGGACCCTGCCTGGACTCTGTACACGGGGAGGGATGCAGGTGACTTCGGGGGTCCCTGAACACCCGGGGTAGGAGAGGGGGGGGGTACATTTACCCCTGAATGAGGCATTTGCATGGGTTGGTGGTGTCACATGGGCAGACTGAAGGCAGAAGCTCAGCTAGTCTCTCTTGACTTCAAGTTAAGCTCCAAATCACTGTTACACTGTCTGAGATTGCACTAAAGGTAAAAAAAAAACCTAATAATAAACATGTTATACTTACCTGCTTCGTGTAGTGGTTTTGCACAGAGCAGCACCGAGTCTTCTCTTCTGGGGTCCCCTGTTAGTGCTCCTTCCCCCTGCTGAGTGCCCCCATAGCGAGCCGCTTGCTACGGGGGCACTCGTGCGTGCTTGCTTTCTCTCGGGTGGTTCTATGTCTCCATTGACACACAGCGCGGCTCAGCCCGCTCCCTCCTCACCTGGCTGTAATTGACAGCAGTGGGAGCCAGTGGGGAGGGAGAGCTCAGGTAAGTATAATGGGGAACTTCACACAGAATGTGTCATTTTTTTTTTTTTTTCTCTCTCATGCACATCGAAATGCATGACGGGAAAAAACTTCAGTCTTTAGAACCACTTTAAAACAAAAAAGTGTCACCGCATAGAAATCCCAATGAAAAAGATTCTTAGCTATCAAACCATTGATTCACCCACATTATGACTAGATAAAAACGAGTGCTTTGAAATCAATGTGCAGCGCTTTTTATGATCTTTCATGATCCCAAACTGTAATAATCTTTGTATTTCAATGTCCCTTATTAGTTCATAAATTTTAATAAAAACAGGATAGTAAATCAAGGCCATGCCCACGAATTGGGCCAACCAGTGTAATAATCTTTAAAATAACACTACATTACAAACCGTGATAATACAATTATCTGATTAGTGATGAATTCCAACAATAGGCCAATGATAAAACTTCATTCGTTAACTTGGCGGTATTCCCGATTGTAGCTCGGGGTAAAGTTTAGTACCACAAGCGGTAATTTATTGAGATTACACTCGGGATTTCCATGCAAGTGCTGCTACCGGGATCCCTTGATCACTTACTCTTGTCCTGCAGATTTCAAGCGATGTCCCTCCTGCAGTGTCCCCGGCAATGTCCTCCGGCGGATGCCGGCATCTGTCATCTGGGTTCCATCTCCTGCGACATCGGGGCGTACGGGGACGGAACGGCGGGAAATTTGAAAATGACTAAAAATGTTACATTGCAATAAATAAAAAAAAAATGTCTCATAGTCCAGTCTGTATTAAACCATTTCACATACATTTGATGGTGGAAGATAAAATGCTTTGTTTGGAGTTGCCTGCATTTTTGCTGTTCTTTCTGAGCTGAAGAAACTGAGAAATGTCCATGGGAGTGGGAAAGCGTGTTTTAATAAAAGCGGTTTTTAGACCGGCTAGAGACAGACGATAGTAAATCAGAACCACTTGCAGATTTTACACTTTATGATTCGTGGGGGAAATTTTTCATCAGACACTGTAAACGATTTTGTACTGAGCTCAGCGATGTGCGAACTTGGCGCTATTTTCAAATTTCAGTGTGTTTTTAGTTTGATTAATTATTGAATTAAATTAGTATTATATTTTTTATGATTTATTATATTATAATTTATGATTTCATGTTTCAAGTTTTAATTCATACCCGGGATAGTTTACTAGACTCTTGTTTGGACAGATTTCAGTGAGTTATTCCTAAAAATTACAGGCCTACAATAAAAAAATTCATATTTCCATGCAAAAAAATGTACCCTTTAGAATTCACAGAAATATAGGACATAATCAGACCGCTAGGGAGGTTAATAAAATATCGTAATGTTACAATATGCAATTAAAAAAAAAAAATGTCCCCACACAGTCCAGTCCTGATTCAATTCACTTTCTGGATTTGATGGTGCGAAGATAAAATGTATTATTGCCGGTGTTGAGCCGTCTGCGAGTCTTGGGTGAGCTTAATAGAAGGAGCACTGTGTGACAGTTCCTAGTGGGAGAGTGTTTATTATTCACAGCCGTTTTTGCAACGCACTAGGATTAAAAGGTCAACCGTTTTTTTTTCACGATTTTGCTTTAGACTGTGTGGTGGAGGGTTTTTATTTATTGCATGTTATTTTTTGGACACTTTATTAAAAGGGAACTATACATGGCTTCTCACCAGTGCTTTAACTCCTCCATCAACATCCTCAGCCCCGGGTACCGATCGACAACCATTTTCATTAGCCCAGCCGTGATGACGTCACTCCCACGCATGTCCATTTATGTTCATTTATCCCGACATTGCCAACATTTCTACACTGAGCTGTGCCACTAGACCAGCATGATAGCCAGACAACAAGCATTTTCAGAAGGAAGTCAGTGGAGGCAGCCTCTGTATTTCTCTCACTGTAGGTTTCCTTTTATAGTTTTAATTGCCTCCCGCCCAGCATATAAGGAAATGACGGGCAGGCAGCAGCTCTCTCATTTTGGGAGGATGTCTTATGATGTCCTCCCACTCTAACTGCGCATGCGTGCCCCCTGGGAGTGCAGCAGTCGGTGGTGTGCTCTGTCCCTGGGACACAGCGGATCACTGATCACAGTAAAGAGCCGATGACACAGGCGTGTGATCAGTTGTGTCCAATCACGTAAACAAGGAAATGTTGGTTATCAGCAGCACTCTCCTCACGCTGACAGCGTGTGAGCAGAGGCGAGCCGGTAAGCTACACTGATCATCAGGGCATGATGATCAGTGTAGACCCATCAGTGCCACCTGTCAGTGCCCATCAATGCCACATAGAAGTGCCCATCAATTCCACATATCAGTGCCTACCAGTGCCCATCAATGCCACATACCAGTGCCCATCAATTCCACATATCAGTGCCTACCAGTGCCCATCAATGCCACATACCAGTGCCCATCAATTCCACATATCAGTGCCTACTAGTGCCCATCAATGCCACATACCAGTGCCCATCAATTCCACATATCAGTGCCTACTAGTGCCCATCAATGCCACATACCAGTGCCCATCAATTCCACATATCAGTGCCTACTAGTGCCCATCAATGCCACATACCAGTGCCCATCAATTCCACAATGCCATCAATGCCACATACCAGTGCCCATCAATTCCACATATCAGTGCCTACTAGTGCCCATTAATGCCACATAGTGCCCATCAGAGCTGCTTATCAGAGCCATTCACTGCTGCCAATCGGTGCCACCCATCAGTGCTGCCTATCATTGTCCATCAGTGCCATATGAGTGCTGCCTGTCAATGCCCACCAGTACCTCCTCCTCTGTGCTTCATCATTGCCGCCTATCAGTGCAGCGCATCTGTGCCCATCACTGCAGCCTCATTAGCACACATCAGTGAAGAAGAAAAACATTACTTATTTACAAAATTTATAACAGAAACTAAGAAAAAAAGTCGTTTTTTTTCAAAATTTTCAGTTTTTGGTTTGTTTAGAAAAAAATAAAATACCCAGTGGTGATTAAATGCCACCAAAAGAAAGCTCTATCTATCTAAAAAAAATGATACAAATTTTGTTTGGGTACAGTGTTGCATGACGGTGCAATTGTCATTCAAAGTGTGAGAGCGCTGAAAGCTGAACATTGGTCTGGGCAGGAAGGGGGTAAAACTTGCCTGGTAGGCAAGGGGTTAAATACTTGAAAGGTGTGTTTTTTTTTTTTTGGGTTTTTTTTTTTTTGTTTTTTTTTTAATGAAACTGTTTTCACAAACTGCATGTCTGACTGATTCGATAAAGTGCTTTGTATGAGGTTTATACGTTTGCAAGTCCTGATGTTTATTTTTTGTCTGTTTCCGCTAACAGGAGAAGGCCCACCAGGGCTCTTTTCTCTGCCTCACAAAATCCATCAAACTGGCGATGTCGCGAGTACCAAGTCCCCCTCCCCCGGCTGAGATGTCCACTGGCCCCGTGGCTGAAAGCTGGTGTTATACGCAGGTCACTTCATCTTGTTTTCGTTTTTACTGAAGTTGTCTTACAATATTTTGTTTGTCATCTCTTTTAATATGGACTTGCAGGTAATGTTTTTTGCATTTGTTCATGCTCCTACAGATAAAAGTCGTGAAATTTTCCTACATGTGGACCATCAATAACTTTAGTTTCTGCCGAGAGGAGATGGGGGAGGTGATCAAAAGCTCCACTTTCTCCTCGGGAGCCAATGATAAGCTCAAATGGTGGGTAGCAAACAGTTTTTTCATGGGAATGGTATGCTGGATGTTGTGCAGATCTGCTGCTGATTATGGAATAGTTGTCTGTGTGTATACCTCCATGTCTGGGCTTCATAGTCTGTCTTTTAGGGTTCCTACGTAGCATCCAGTCAGGGTTTGGTTGTTAATTGCTTGCTCATTGAAATAAAATGTAGCTTATACATCCTGTACATGTGGTCCAAGAACTCACTCAAGCTAAATGCTAGGTCACGGGGAGCAGTATTTAAACTTTGTGATTTGTGAACGTTCAGATTTTAACCATTTGCCGCCCACCCTATGGCCGAATGGTGGCCGGCAAATGTCATCAGCGTTCCGGGTGGACGCCATATGGCGTCCTCCCGCACATGCGCAGATTGCGCTCCTGTAGAGCGGACTGGCACGATCTGTCACCGGCCGTGTACCTCGGACACGGCCGATGACAGATCTGAGTATCGGCCCCCCGTTGCCGGTACCATGTGACCTGCTGTGACCAATCACAGCAGGTCACATGACAGTTGTATACAATGGATGGCTTCATTCATTCATCCATTGTATACTAGTGTCTAGCTGTGAATGGTCACAGCTAATCACATGCACATGTCATATGATTAGCTGTGGCCAAATCACAGCTAAGCACGAAAAAAAACCCTGAATGAATTAATGTCATTCAGGTAAATGCTTGCTTATAGCAAAGTAATTCTTTGCTATAAGCAAATTGTGTATGAAAAAAAAAAAAAAAAAATACTGATCACTTCCCCAAAGTAGTACAATGTTACTATGGTAACATTGTACTACTTTGGTCATAGTGAAATATGAAAAAAAATCTTAAAAAAAAAAAAAAAATTTAATAAAAAAATAAGAAAAAAAATTTAAAAAATAATTTTGTTTTTCATACTGTCACCAGTCAGTGTCCCTGATCACCGCCATGCCAGTTATATGATGATGCTGTACTGCACTGGTGACAGTATGGAAAAAAAAAATAGTGAAACTAATTTTTTTTATTTTTTTAATTTTCCGAAAAATTATGACAAAAAAAATACTACTTCAAAAAACTCGCCATTCCTCTTATGAAGTTCGTCGGACTGTCTGCTTTGCAAAAAGGGGTCATTTGGGGGATATCTGTACTGATCTGACATTTGGGGGATATCTGTACTGTTCTGACATTCTTGGACCTCAAAAATTTAGATTGGCTGTCAGTACTTCAGGATTGATCAATATTCAGATCTATACCATAGTTTGTGAACTCTATAACTTTCCTACAAACTAAATAATACATCCTAATTTGGGTTATTTTCACCAAAGACATGTAGCAGAATACATCTTGGCCTAAATTTATGAAGAACAAAATTTTTATTTGCAAACTTTTTATAACAGAAACAAAGAAAAACGTGTTTTTTTTTTCAAAATATTTTGTATTTTTTTTGTTAATTTAGCAAAAAAATAAAAACCCCAGCGGTGATTAAATACCACCAAAAGAAAGCTCTAGTTGTGTGAATTAAATGATAACATTTTAGTTTGGGTACAGTGTTATATGACCGCGCAATTGTCATTCAAAGTGTGAGAGCGTTGAAACCTGAAAAATGGCCTGGGCAGGAAGGTGTAAAATTGCACGGTATTGAATTGGTTAAAAAAAAAAAAAACCCCACAAAAAAACAAACTTGTTATATTTGTCAGTTTAGTGCAATGGCTTTTCACAGAGCAGCTCCGATCCTCTTCTTGGGTTCCCTGACGGTGCTCCTGGCCCCTCTCCTCTTCTGCTGAATGCCCCTAGAGGAAGCTGCTTGCTCTGGGGGGCACTCGTGCATGCTCACTTCTGAGCTGTCTCTTTGTGTCCGTAAGACAGAGCACGGCTCAGCCCTGCCTCCTTGCTTCCTCCTCACTGGCTGTGCTTGACAGCAGTCAGTGAGGAAGCAGAATCCCAGGAGAGCTTCTGCTCTTGTGCACATCACTGGATCAGGCTCAGGCGAGTATAAGGGGGGGGGGGGGGCTGAGAGGGGAGCTGCACACTGAAGGTTTTTTTTACCTTCACGCATAGAAGGCATGAAAGTAAAAAAACCCTTCAGGCTTTAGAGACACTTTAAAGTGGTTCTTCACCTGGAAAAAAAAATTAATGAAAAAAAAAAATTGATTAAAAGGACACTTGCCTGTTCAGGGATTCAGCATGTTCTCACCCATGCCAGTGGCGTATTTACCACAAGGCAACAAGGCATTTGCCTAGGGCAGCATTTTTTTTATGCCCCCAGGAAGAAGGGACATATGCGGCATGGGGACCAGGTGGGATCCGAGAGAGGCTGCGGGCTGCTTGATGGTGTATGCAGAGCCCGTCTGTCGTTCCCAGGGATGTACAGAGCTGTAAATTGAGTGTCTTTTTCTCTGTCGGTGTTAGGGAATGGGGCGTGTTAGGGGGAATGCTCTCTCATGCTCTCTCGTAGGGGGGATGGGGGGGGTCGTTGTTGGTCACGGTCATGCTCTCTCTGTGGGGGGGGGGGGGGGAATCTGGTGTTGGTGTCAGGCCCTCTCTCTGTCAAGGAGGAGGGGGGGGGGGGGGCGTCCGATTTTTGTGTTGCCTAGGGCAGCACAAAACCTGAATACACCACTAGCTCAGGCTACGTTTTCACTAGCCTTTGGGTTCCCAGTGCCGGCATCCTAACTGTGGGCAGCTGACTATGCTGCGTTTGGCTTCACATCCAGCTGCCCACGGCTTTGTGAATGGGCCCGCAGTCTTTTGGGACCTGTGACGTGTCCCAAAAGACTGCAGGGGCAGGAAGACAACTTCCCATCGGGATCGCCTAGGTCATCCGAGTGGAAGTGGGAACAAAACTAGGTACCCACTCCCGCTACCCAACAATGGTAGGGAGGGGGGAGGAGAACTTAAAGCGGAACTTTACCCAAAAGGGGAAGTTCTGCTTTAAGGTAGAAATGCAGTCAAAACATTTTTTTATTTTTCATTTTGGAGAGAGCGATGTGTATATCCCCATCAGGGAACTTTTTTTTTTTTTCTTCACTTCCTGTCCCTGAGAAGTGTGGGGAAATCCTATGTTGACACTTCTTACTATTGGAATGTTTCCTCTCTGTTCCTATTGCAGTGGCATTTGTAAATTGTTGGATTTCCCCTTCTTTTCTCTCCCGATGACAGTGGTTACCACGATAAACAAGGGAGGTTCCTCCAACAGGGACAAAGACAGAAATAAAGAGAAATCCCCGGCAGAAGTTTCTTCTGAAACCAACACTACTGGGAATGTCATGTGTCTCCAGCCGCTTTCTGGTTCCTCCCGTCAGTGCCAACCCCTAGGTAACGACTGTATTCTGGAGCGATGTGGGGTTGGTGGCAGACACCACACAGCACAGCTGGGGCACAGTAGATCGTCACTCTGATGTGCTGGCTTCAAAAGAGACTTCAGCCAGGAAATTTTCATGCATTGAAGTGGTTTTCGGCACCATGGGCATTCATTTACTTCTTTGCAGGTAAAGCTATTCTTTTTAAGGAAGTTTAAGTCAAGGGAATTAATCGTGAATTCATGTTTGTTTAGTGCAAAAAACAAAAAAACAACAGTTCCCGTTCTGTTTTTCTGTGCTTATGCACCCTTTAGGAATTGATTGATGCATAATTCAGAGAAAACTCTGCTTAATGTGTGTAGGGGAATGTGAAAACTCTTGGCTTTCCATGACTTTATTGTTCAGGCTTTCCAACTCTTGTTCCACTGTCCAAAGAGACTGTCTCCATGGCCACGTAAATTAGGCAGTTTGTAGAACTTAGCCATAACGTCAGGTAAAGTCAGGCCACGGTAGCAAGTGAAACTTAAAGCGAAGTTCCACTCACTCTGTAAAAAAAAAAAATCAAAGTCAGCAGCTACAAAAACTGTAGCTGCTGACTTTTAAAAAAAACAGCCACTTATCTGTTTCACGATCCCGCGTTGTTGCCCCCGCCGCAGCCTTTTTCTCCGGCCGTCATGTATTCCAGGCACCGGCATCTTCAGTGAGGGCACCCGGCTGTGACAGCTTGCAGCTTCACAGCCTGGTTCCCACTGCGCATGTGCAAGTAGCGCTGCGCTTCCTGAATGGCCCCGTAGTCTTCTGGGACCTGTCATATGCCCCACAAGACTTCGGGGAGGGAGGGTAGGAGGACAACTTCCACTTCCGATCGCCTAGGCGATCACAGCGGAAGTGGGTGTGGGTACCTGTTAAATTTGGGTACCTGTCCCCCCCCCCTTCTCCCCAAAGGTGCCAATCCTTAATGGGGAGCGGGGGACCAATCTTTAAAGCGGAACTTCCCCTTTTGGGTGGAACTCCGCTTTAATCAGAGAGGGGCAAGGAGAAGGCACTAGTGGCTTACAATGGTAAAAGTTAGCAATACTATCAAAGCTTTCAAATTGAGCACAAATGTACTTTAATGTGATATACTTGAAAGCTGCTCCTTAACTTACGGTTGCCATGGTAATAGGCAAAGGGCATGGAGGCACACGAGGACTTTCCATCACTGGAAAAGCAAAGCGTGACCTCTGTATCCTTCTTCCTAATTGTCATGTTTATTACTAATCTAAAGCTCAGAAGTGAAGAATACATTTTGTTCCTCCTGATCTCAGATGTACCTTTTATTTGTCATAAATCGTAACCCACGCTACTAGTAAGGTCTTTTTTATTGTTTCCCTAATCTTCATCCAGGAGAGCACATAAGGGAGTGTGGCTCCTCCCACAACTAAAATAAAAGATGTCAGTAATCTATGTGCCTAGTAATCTAGGACAGCACAGTGGCTAAATGGTTAGCACTTCCGCCTGGCAGTACTCGGGTCGTTGGTTCGAATTCCAACCCCGCCACCACCTGCCTGGAGTTTGCATGTTCTCCCTGTGCCTGCGTGGGTTTCCTCCGGTTACCTCGCACACTCCAAAGACATGCTGGTAGGTGAATTGGCTCCTGTCTAAATTGCCTTTAGTATGTGTATGTATGAATGTAAGTTAGGGACCTTAGATTGTACGCCCCTTGAGGGTTAGGGACTGATGTGAATGTACAATATATATGTAAAGGGCTGCATAAATTGTTGACGCTATACAAGTACCTGAAATTAATAAATAAAATAAATATGTGCCTCAGTTATTTGTGGTCCCGTGGCCAAGTGGGAGCACAGCATCTGTGCCAAGCCTTTGTGCTAGCCAGCAGGGACTCCATCTCGATTAAGCCCGGTCGGTGCACTGAGGGCTTAAAAGAGAAGTATTGGATTTTTTTTTTTTTTTTTAATTATACTTAGGTAGATGCAGCATCAATGTGATGCTGCATCTGTCCCCCACAGGCTTGTAGGCTGAGAATGGAGCGATCAAATACCACTGATCGTTCTGTTTTCCCTGCCACTCTGAGCACTAACAGTCACCACTATCTGCTCTGCCTGTCCAGTGCTCACTGGAGCGTTGGGCTGTGGAGGGGACGGGAGCAGTTGGCTTAGACTCTCAGCGGCTTGCTGAGCCAGGTGCCAGTCCAGGCTCCTGGTCAGACTCTCAGCGGCTTGCTGTGTCCAGGTGCCAGTCCAGGCTCCTGGGTCAGACTCTCAGCGGCTTGCTGAGCCAGGTGCCAGACTCTCAGGCGGCTCCAGGTGCCAGTCCAGCTCCTGGGCTCCTGGGTCAGACTCTCAGGCGGCTTGCTGAGCCAGGTGCCAGTCCAGGCTCCTGGGACTCAGACTCTCAGCGGCTTGCTGAGCCAGGTGCCAGTCCAGGGTCAGACTCCTGGTTCAGACTCTCAGCGGCTTGCTGAGCCAGGTGCCAGTCCAGGCTCCTGGGTCAGACTCTCAGCGGCTTGCTGAGCCAGGTGCCAGTCCAGGCTCCTGGGTCAGACTCTCAGCGGCTTGCTGAGCCAGGTGCCAGTCCAGGCTCCTGGGTCAGACTCTCAGCGGCTTGCTGAGCCAGTCCAGGTGCCAGTCCAGGCTCCTGGGTCAGACTCTCAGCAGCTTGCCAGTTACCAGTCCAGGCTCCCGAGTGAATCCTCACCATATGGTCACTATCCTTCCCCAGCTTGGACCGGCTTTGTGATGTCAGCCAAATGCAGGCTTTAACCTGCTGTTGGCTGAAAACAAGTCACAGGAGTTTAGAACAAACTGCACCCCTGTGATACACAGGAGAAGTACAGGCAAATGAGCTTTGGCTGTACTTCTCCTTTAAGGAAAGATGGTACTGGAGAGGGAGCTCCCTCATTTTTCTCTGACTACTCAGGCCTCCACCATCCCTCTCCCCTTCTTAGCTCACCTGTCTTACCCTTCCCCGTCGCTCCCTTACCTTCTATACCCTATCCCTTATGTTTTCCAAGCACAGCATCTCAAATCAATTAACGTGAACTATGCTTGAGTGTAATTATGGAGAACTCGGAACCATATTATCAGTAATAATGAGGAGGAGCTAGATTGTGGAGAATCTGTATTATTCTCCTGTAAAGCACATTTTCTGTTTTGTGTCATGACATGCTTTGTAACAGCAGAGCCTTATGCGTTTGGATTCATTTAAAAAAAAAAAAAACAATAAAAATGTATAGCTAAATAAATATATATAATACTTATTCCTATTATTTTATCAAATCTTAACTGTTTGTTACCTCCAGGTGCCTCCGTGTGAATCCTAAAGGATTAGATGAAGAGAGCAAGGACTATTTGTCTCTCTACCTGCTGCTGGTCAGCTGTCCAAAGAGTGAGGTGCGCGCCAAATTCAAATTCTCCATCCTCAATGCCAAGGGTGAAGAAACCAAGGCGATGGGTAAGCGGCCTGCCTGTTTAGACTTTTACCAATGATGTCGGCCTTCCTTTTGCAGTTTTCACCTAAATGTACATGTCTTCTTTTTTTTTTTTTAGAGAGCCAGCGAGCTTACCGCTTTGTTCAAGGCAAAGACTGGGGTTTTAAGAAATTCATTCGCAGAGATTTCCTGCTCGATGAGGCCAATGGCCTTCTCCCAGATGATAAGCTGACCCTCTTCTGCGAGGTATGTTTTGGCAGCGAAACAACAGATTTGCATATGTAGGTCATCGTATGTGAAAGCAGTGGGGCCCTCCTGTCCAGGCTTTATTGCCCACATCGACCAATTACATACTCCCTTTTCTGTTTCCAGTGCAGTAGCTTACAATCGAAAACATGTAACAATGGAAAACCGGACTTATTAACCCCTTTGCGCCGGCCGAACACAGATGTGCGGCCTCCCAGCGTTTGGGCCTAGATGCCAAGCGGCTGCACATTTGCGTTCATGTAGCAAAAAACATATGTGCAGAGAGCGCGCACCCGTGTGGTACTCACGGAAAGGTCCCGGTTCGCTCTTTCGCTCGGGACCTTTCCCGATCATGTGACCGCCGTGATGATGCATCACGGCGGTCACATGATTCCTAAACCACGCCCCGCCTCCCGGCGTCTGAAACTCTTAAAGGGCTGGGATGCGCCGGCGGGAAGGGGTTAAAAGATACTTTGTTGCCAAAAACAATATAATATATGTGTATGTGTTCAAGGGCTGCAGCAGTGAAAGAATCCTCAACTTTTAATGAATTTCCGGATGTATCGGATACCTGTTCTCCTGCTGCTTGCTGTGGTTTCACTTGCAGGCTGCTGTGGCACTACTGTGCCCTGTAGTGATGTAGCTGCTGGCAGCGGGGGGACACAGCCAATAGCATGTCAGATGCTGAAGATTCTTCATTTGGTGTTGCTATTGAAGAGTGTGATGCTCTGTTATGGGCGGTGGCCAGATGAGTATAATACCTCTTTTTTTGCAATTATTTTTTTTTTTTTTTGTGAAAAGTTGCTTTAACAGTGAAGATCAGTTATTTACAATAACAACTCTTAACCAATCAGATCTCAATTGCTTAGCTATTTTTTATGAAGAGATTTTAGTATGAATCCTTGAAGCTGAGTTTTGCTTTGCTTGCTATGGGGTATACCACATGCCAGTGGTCGCTCTAGTCCTTCCATCCCTTGTGCCTCCTCTCCCCACTTTGAATATACACTTTTCACATTCACCTGGTGCATAGTTCCTCACAGGCCTCCTGGTATGCACGTTCCCTGTTATAGAATCATTTTTGCTCAGGTCTCTACATACTAGACCTGGCTGACCTCCTGTATCACTAGTCAAGTGCTTGTCATGGAATAGTGGAGCATTCCAAGACCATGTTTGAAAAAGCCACTTGGATATGGGGCCTTTTGTATTTGCTGTATAAAATTGTGTCAGCTGGGACTTCATATGGCACTGCATATGCACAGCGCAGCATGACTTACATATAGGTTTGGGTTGCTCTTTGTCACCATAACACTGCATGGTCAGGACTGCTTTCACCAAGACAATGTATCCCTTGACCGATGAACTGGATACCTTCTCAGCTTACCACGGACTAGCCTTTCTCAGCCATGGTCATTTTAGCTGTCTGTAAGGGGGGATTTTTCTTGCTGAGCACAAATGTACGGAGCATTGTTCATACTGACCAGGGGCAGACTGACAACTCATGGGGCCCACCGGGCAATAGGGGATCATGGGGCCCCTGTGTCCTTGCCCAAACTCAAAAAAGCCTATGAAAAAAGGTACCAGGGGCATCTCATGAAGCTCCCTACTGACCACGGGCCCTCGGGCAGTGCACGAGTTTCCAAAAGGTCAGTCAGCCCCTGATACTGACCATGGTACTAATCAGGGGCGGACTGACCATTTAGGCACTCAGGCCTGGGATTAGTAGGGGGCCCCATGAGATACCCCTGGTACCTTTCATAGGCTTTTTTGGGTGTGGTTTGAGTGTGCGCGAGGACACGGTCCCCATGATTTCATATTGCCCGGGACCCCATGAGTTGTCAGTCCGTCCCTGGTGCTAATGTAACCTGAGTTGTAATTATTTACAGGGGCACCCTCAGACAGAGTGATTTAAAGGGTACCTCCCTGTTGGCCACTTGCCCTCCAGAGGATTTACCCCACTTTTCTGACCAGGCCATTTTTTGTGATACAACGCTGTGTTACTTTAACTGACAATTGCGCAGTCATAAAACACTGCACCCAAATAAAATTTAGCTCCTTTTTTTTTTCTCATAAATAGAGCTCTCTTTCGGTGGTATTTGATCGCCTGTGCATTTTTTATTTTTTGCGATATGTATAAAAGAAAAAAAAAAAAAAGAGACTGACAATTTTGAAAAGAAAAACAATATTTTTGACTTTTTGCTATTACATATGTCCAGTAAAAAAAATTAAAAAAAAACAAATTTCATCATAAATTTAGGCCAAAATGTATTCTGCTACATGTCTTTGCTAAAAAAAAAAAAAAAATCCCTTTATGTGTAAATTAGTTGATTTACGTAAACGTTATAGCGTTTACAAATGCCGGTGTGTATATATACTGGAATTTTTTTACTTTTTTTTGTACTAGTAAGGGCGGCGATTAGCGACTTATAGTGGGACTGCGGCAGGCTTTCTGACACTTGGGGGAACTTACGTGGTGTCACTGACATCCCCAGTGACACCAATACAGTGATCAGTGCTAATAAAAAGCACTGACATTGTACTAATGATACTGGGCAGGAAGGGGTTAACATCTGGGGCTTTCAAAGGGTTAACTGTGTGCTGTTTTACTATGGGGGCTGTGTGTCTGTTTCACTGTAAGCGCACTTCTTTGTGTGGCTCTGCTATGCAGAGCCACACAAAGCAGTGTGCAGGAGCTGACAAGGGAGTGATCTATATTGTTTACATACAGGTTTCTCCCCCGTCGGAAACCCTCGGAGATCGCTGGGTGCCAGCTGGGAATCACCGGGACCAGGTGATTGACAGCAGAGGCCGCGAATGGCGGCGTGCTACCGGGAGCTGCAACATCACGTGTATATATTCGTGATTTTTGCACACATGTTCCGCCATGTAGCAGTATATCTGCTATAGGGCAGTCCTGAAGAGGTTAAAAAAAGGTTGAGAAAGGCTGCCCTGAACTGGTGCCCTGCTCAGGTACAAATGAATGACCTGTGACACACCTGCATCCTTTCATTAAACTAGTGACCCTACCCGCGCCGACATTCGCTGACTCTGCTGTCAATCACCTGGTCCCGGCCAGTGATTCTCCGCTGGCACCCAGCGATCTTCGAGCATTTCCAACAGGAGAGAAACCTGTATGTAAACAATATAGATCACTCCCCTGTCAGCTCTTGCACACTGCTTTGTGTGGCTCTGCATATCCCTACACCAAATGGACACTAGCCTATGTATATTGGGTATATTCACCAATTACTGTGTCACTTTGAGCTGATATCCATGGACTGCACCTCATCTTTATGGCAGACCTGTGACATGCACCAGATAACCACTTATCGACCGCCCCCCCCCTGCAATTTACTGCGTATGTCATTGCCCACTTCCCGGTTTTAGATGCACTCCCAACGGCTGGCACCTGCTGTGATTGTATGCAACGGGAGTCTGTCGGCAAGTCCCGGCCAATGATTGTATACAATCACAGCTCAGAGCTCTATGTTGACATTCAACACTTTTGAATTTTTTTATTAGTTATGTTTTATAGCAGAAAGTAACACTTTTTTTTTTTTTTTTTCCAAAATCCTAGTCTTTTTACATTTATATTGCAAAAAAAAAAAAAAAAAAAACAGTGGTGATCAAATACCACCAAAAGAAAGCTCTATCTCAAAAAAATTACACAAATTTTGTTTGGGTACAGTGTTGCATGACGGTACAATTGTCATTCAAAGTTTGACAGCGCTGAAAGCTGAAAATTGGTCTGGCCAGGAAGAGGGTAAAACTTGCCCAGTAGGCAAGTGGTTAACCCCTTGGCGCTGGCACCTCCCTGCCTTTTTAAGGGTTTCAGAAGCCGGAAGGCGGGGTGGGAATTTAGGGTCATGTGACTGCCGGAATGCGCTGTCACGGCGGTCACATGATCAGGAAAGGTCCCGATCGAAAGAGGAGATCGTGACCTTTCCGTGAGCACCGGACATGTGTCCTGGGGGTGTGCGTTATCGGCACACATATTTTTCCTAATTGCACGCAAATGTGCGGCCGCTTGGCGTCAAGGCCCAGTTGCCGGGAGGCTGCACATTTGCGTGCAGCCGGCCCTAAGAGCTTAAATAACTGACAAGTTTTTTTTTTTTTTACACTGTTTTCACAAACTGTGTGTTTGATTCTGATAAACTGTTTTGTATGAGGTTTATACGTTTGCAAGTTCTGTTTATTTTTGTCTGTTTCCGCTTTGTGCGTGGGAATAAAAATTATATCAATTTTGTTTGGGTACAGCGTTGCATGACTGCGCAGTTGACAGTTAAAGTAGCACAGTGCGATATAGCAAAAAATAGCCTGGTCATGAGGGGGTAAAATCTTCTGAAAATTAAGTGGTTATCTAAACCCCTTATCCTTTGGACTGATCACCCTCGGATTTCAGGACCAGTGGCTAGAGGTCAGGCTATAACAGGTGATATGCACTGACTCGCTTGCATGCCCCAACTTAAAGTATTACCTTTTATAATGACGTGATGTACCGTATTTTTCGCTGTATAAGAAGCACTTTTTTCTTCCCCAAAACTGGGGGGGAAATGTCAGTGCGTCTTATAAGGCGAATATGGAGCGGCCGGTCTGGTATTTCCACCGCGGCCGTGTCAGAATACCGGGCCGGCCGCTCAGCTCTGCAGCGGGACCTTACCTGTTCCTCTATCCAGCGGCGTGCTGTCTTCCCGCTTCTGTAGTGTGGGCACTGGGTATTACAGCCGGGTGCCAAGTGCGCATGCGCAAGAAGCGGTGCTTTTTGTGAATGGTAAGGCGGTACCTGGGACACATGAAAGATCCCAGAAGCCGCTGGACCAATCACAAAGCGCAAGTGCTTCTCGCTCATGCACACTGGGCACCCGGCTGTCATGCCGAGCGCCATTACAGAAGCCGGGAAGACAGCGCGCGGCTGGATCGAGGAACAGGTAAGATCAAACAAAAACAATGCGGAAGTAAGAGCGGGTACCTGTCAAATTCAGGTACCCGCTCCCCACCTCCCCAAAGGTCAGCAGTCATCTGTGCTGTCCGCAGTCTCTGGTCATCCCCGTGCTGTCCGCAGTCTCTGGTCATCCCCGTGCTGTCCGCAGTCTCTGGTCATCCCCGTGCTGTCCGCAGTCTCTGGTCATCCCCGTGCTGTCCGCAGTCTCTGGTCATCCCCGTGCTGTCCGCAGTCTCTGGTCATCCCCGTGCTGTCCGCAGTCTCTGGTCATCTCCTGTACTGTGTCTGCAGTCCATTAGTTCAGATTTTTTTTTTTCCTGTTTTCTGCCTCTAAAACCTAGGTGCGTCTTATACGGCGAAAAATACGGTATTGTTGTGACATACAATTCTGTAGTTACCCAATGGGATATAACCGTGCATTTCTGGCGTTGCTGTACTTTTGTGACCCCAGCCATATCTTTACATTGCCATCTTGTATTCTCCCTAGGTCAGCGTCGTTCAAGATTCTGTCAACATTTCTGGACAGAACACCATGAACATGGTGAAAGTACCGGAATGTCGTCTTGCTGATGAACTCGGAGGATTATGGGAGAACTCTCGTTTCACTGACTGCTGTCTGTGCGTTGCTGGGCAGGAATTCAAAGCACACAAAGCCATCCTTGCAGGTCTGTTTGCGTTTTAGCCGTCTGTTCAATTTGAGAGTTTTGCCATCTACATGTAACAATGTACTGGTGTGAAGCCAACGAGCAGGATGTCATTAGTTTTCAATCATTGCTGCTTACTGGTCAAAGACCGAATGGCACAATGCACAGAAATCATTTGCCTAGTGTTGACAGCACTTTCTGATATAGCTCCTTAAAATTCTTGCGGTCCCTGGCACTGACAAGCTTCCACAGGTGTTTGACATATATTAACCCCTTGACGCTGACGTCACACAAATATGCGGCCTGACAGAACTGGGCTTTTTTCCGTGGGGCCGCATATTTGCGTACCTGTCTTTGTGCTAGGAGCGCGCCACACTGCACGCTCCCAGCACAAAGACCGCGGTGTCACTGAGAGCCCCGAGTCCCGTTCTATCAATCGAACTCTCTATGAATGGAGAAAAGAGATACATTGTATCTCTCTAGCTCCTGGCATAGAGAGAAAAAAAAAAATATTTGTAAAATAAATAAATATTAAAGAAAAAATGCCTAGATCAAGGTTTGATCTAGTTCAGTGCCAGTTATTGTTTGGGTCAAGTTCAGGGTCAAAGGTCAGGATTTATTAAAGAAAAAAAAAAAAAAAAAAAATTGGTGTCAATGTCAGTGCGCATTTTGTTTTTGTTTTGTTTTTTTTTTCACCTAAAACACACTATTGTTTCCGGGCTGTACTATGGGTACAAATACATACACATATATGGTATTGTTTGGGTCAAGTTCAGGGTCAAAGGTCAGGATTAAAAAAAACACAAAAATTGGTGTCAATGTCAGTGTGTTTTAGGTAAAAAAGACAAAAACAAAATGCGCACTATTGTTTCTGGGCTGTACTACGGGTACAAATATCATACACATATATGGTATTGTTTGGGTCAAGTTCAGGGTCAAAGGTCAGGATTAAAAAAAAAAAAAAAAAAAATTGGTGTCAATATCAGTGTGTTTTAAGTAAAAAAAAAAAAAAGACAAAAACAAAATGCGCACTATTGTTTCTGGGCTGTACTACGGGTACAGATAACATACACATATATGGTATTGTTTGGGTCAAGTTCAGGGTCAAAGGTCAGGATTAAAAAAAAAAAAATTGGTGTCAATATCAGTGTGTTTTAGGTTAAAAAAACAAAAAACAAAATGCGCACTATTGTTTCTGGGCTGTACTACGGGTACAAATAACATACACATATATGGTATTGTTTGGGTCAAGTTCAGGGTCAAAGGTCAGGATTAAAAAAAAAAAAAATTGGTGTCGATGTCAGTGTGTTTTAGGTTAAAAAAAAAAAAAAGACAAAAACAAAATGCGCACTATTGTTTCTGGGCTGTACTACGGGTACAAATATCATACACATATATGGTATTGTTTGGGTCAAGTTCAGGGTCAAAGGTCAGGATTAAAAAAAAAAAAAAAAAAATTGGTGTCAATATCAGTGTGTTTTAAGTAAAAAAAAAAAAGACAAAAACAAAAATGCGCACTATTGTTTCTGGGCTGTACTACGGGTACAGATAAATACTACACATATATGGTATTGTTTGGGTCAAGTTCAGGGTCAAAGGTCAGGATTAAAAAAAAAAAAAAAAATTGGTGTCAATATCAGTGTGTTTTAGGTTAAAAAAAAACAAAAAACAAAATGCGCACTATTGTTTCTGGGCTGTACTACGGGTACAAATAACATACACATATATGGTATTGTTTGGGTCAAGTTCAGGGTCAAAGGTCAGGATTAAAAAAAAAAAAAATTGGTGTCGATGTCAGTGTGTTTTAGGTTAAAAAAAAAAAAAAAAGACAAAAAAAAAATGCGCACTATTGTTTTTGGGCTGTACTACGGGTACAGATAACACATACACATATATGGTATTGTTTGGGTCAAGTTCAGGGTCAAAGGTCAGGATTAAAAAAAAAAAAAATTGGTGTCAATATCAGTGTGTTTTAGGTTAAAAAAACAAAAAACAAAATGCGCACTATTGTTTCTGGGCTGTACTACGGGTACAAATAACATACACATATATGGTATTGTTTGGGTCAAGTTCAGGGTCAAAGGTCAGGATTAAAAAAAAAAAAATTGGTGTCGATGTCAGTGTGTTTTAGGTTAAAAAAAAAAAAAAAAGACAAAAACAAAATGCGCACTATTGTTTCTGGGCTGTACTACGGGTACAGATAACATACACATTATGGTATCGCTACGATCATCAGGAGCTGGAGAATATATTTTGGGTTGTTCTTTGGTGGAAGGTTATAGTAGTAACAAGAAATACACAGCTAAATAAAAAAAAAGATTTTTTTTTTTTACTATTTTGGGCCAGTTTTCCTTTGATAATAATAAAAAAAATCAGGAGCTATCCATTACCATTTACCACCAAATGAAATCACAATTTGTCCTGAAAAAAACGCGGTATAATTCACCTGGATGTACAAAGTAGTTGTGATGATATGTATGGTTTTACTAACACGTGTCAACATTGAAAAATTGTGCTTAGGCGTTTAGATTTGTTTTACCCTTGGGCGTGAAGGGGTTAAGCATCTGCCGCTTGTTGTGCACAGGCCTACATAAAAAAAAAAAAATAAAAAACCGAATATGTCCAACATGAGTTACTAACCCAAGAGGCATTGTATATTTTCGTGTTTTTGTTGTTTTAGCTAGGTATTGGTGTAGTCCTTTTGCTTGTGTTTGCCTTACCTTGTCATGATGGGCTTAGGTGTTGCGGCTGCAGTTTGTAGTGTCGATTCCCCAATGTCAATGTTTTGCAGCATCTGTGACATCTTCCTTTTTTGGGGTCACACAGCATCCAGCGCATGCCTCTGTGTTGCAGCACAGATGTGGGAGTGCTAATGTGATAAAATGCATCATCTTCCTGCTGCGAGTGAGCTCTGTGTGTGTCCGTTATCTGCTTTCTTGTGTCTGTCACATCCAATTACTATGTGGCTTTCACCTGCCGCAGCTCTAGAGTGAGAGATCAAGGGATTGTGGGAAATGTAGTTTCTGCACAGGAAGTGTCAGGTCTCACAGTACAGACAGAAGTCATGCATTAACCTGTGCAGTGCATGTTTCAGCACAATGTGATTTACTCTACTATAGGCCGTGCCTATAGGGCAGCAAATGACACTATGAAATTGCATGAACATTGCTCATCTTACACAGGTGAGACAACTGAGATGCAGGTAGGAGTGTTTAGCATACCTTTAACCACTTTTGCGCCGCCCTATAGAAGAAATACTGCTACAGGGTGGCTTGGGTGCTCAAAATCCCATAAATATATATATATATATATATATATATATATATGCGCGTGATTTTGCAGATCCGGATTGGGGGCGCGCGCACGCTCTACCCGCGCTGCCGTTTGTGGCCTCGGCTGTCAATCCCCTGGTCCCTGCCGGTGATTCCCCGCCGGCATCTGGCGATCACCAGGTATCACCGACAAGGGAGAGACCTGTGTATAAACAACACAGTTCTCTCCCCTGTCAGCCCCCTGCATACTGCTTTGTATGGCTCTGCATAGCAGAGTGAAACAACACACCCTGATCGCCTCACATGTTAACCCCTTCCTGCCCAGTGCCATTAATGGCGTCAGTGCCTTTTATTAGAACTGATCACTGTATTGGTGTCAATGGATGTTAGTGAGACCAAGTCAATTCCTCCCAGTGTCAGAATGCCTGCTGCAGAGCCACTATGTCGCTGATCACCGCCATTACTACTACAAGAGAAAAAAAAATAAATTCCAGTATATATTTATTTCAGGTACTTATATAGCGCCGTCAATTTACGCAGGGCTTTACATATATATTGTACATTCACATCAGTCCCTAACCCTCAAGGGGTGTACAATCTAAGGTCCCTAACTCACATTCACATATAAGGGCCAGTTTAGACAGGATCCAATTAACCTACCAACATGTCTTTGGAGTGTGGGAGGAAACTGGAATACCCGGAGGAAACCCACGCAGGCACAGGGAGAACATGCAAACTCCAGGCAGTAGGTGTCGTGGCTTGGATTCGAACCAATGACCCGAGTACTGCCAGGCGGAATATATACAGCCATTTGTAAACGCTATAACTTACTTAAACCAATTCATTTACACATATTGGGATTTTTTTTTTTTAGCAAAGACTTGTAGCAAAATACATTTTTTGCCTACATTTATGACGAAATTAGATTTTATAAAATGTTTTACTTGACATGTTTTATAGCAAGTAAAAAATATTGTTTTGTTTTTTTTTTTTCAAAATTATCGGTCTTTTTTTGTTTACAGCACAAAAAATAAAAACCGCACAGGTGATCAAATACCACAGAAGGAAAGCTCTATTTGTGGGAAAAAAAGGACGTAAATTTCATTTGGGTGCAGCGTTGCATGACCGCGCAATTGTCAGTTAAAGTAGCGCAGAGCCGTAATGCAAAAAATTGCCTGGTCAGGAATGGGGGGGGGGGGGGGGGGGAATCCTCTGGAGTGCAAGTGGCTAACTCTTGAGGCCTGCTGCTATTGTGTACAGCACCCACATTAGGAACGCTAACACACAGGCTGTACAGTAGATACGTACATTTACTGCACTCTCCCCTGTGTGTACACACAGACACTCCTTCCAGATCCTATTGTTCAGTACTTGATGGCAGAATGACAATTTGCTAGTACAGCCTACACTGTCCTTATATATATATTTATTTTCATGCTATTGTCCGCTAAATCTGATTGTAGTTTGATTTCAGCATATGTCTAAAATAATCTTTTGATGCTCAATAAATGGTAAATTCACTTGCATGTATGACATCGCTTTCAGTGCTGAAATGGAAAAAAAAAAAAAAACTGATTATTTTAGAACTGATCCATTGCTTCAAAGGCTCCTTTCACACAGGCGATCAGACCAATCAGGTTCGCCTGTCAGTTTTTTAGTCAGACCCGAGCGGACCCTCCATTGTCCTCTATGGAGTGGCGGATGTAAACAGATTTGAGTTTGTCCGTTTACATCCACCTACTTCTGATCCGTTCCTATCTGCTAAA